ACGAACGGAAAAATAGTAATCATTAAATACAACCATAAATTGTTTAGTGATTGCAGTTTTTTCTGTTTGTGTACAGAAACAAAACGGTCATTGAACACCTTTGATTTGAGCTATGGATTTGACACTTTTTTTATGTACTGAAAAATATTTACATGAATAATTTTATAATTTTTTTTCCGTATCTTGAAACACCAAAATGGTTTCCAAAAAAGTGGTCAACAAAAGTTTTTGTAAAACTATTTAAAATATTACCAGTGACCATAAAATCAGTCAGTCAGAAGATATTTAAGTAGAATCAAGCCGGATTTGCATAAAAATAACTTATTTTCACAGAGGCACGATGTAAGTTTTAACGTTCAATAACTGGTTATCCTAATGTGGTGCATGCTACTTATATTGGTATAAATAGTATATGACGCGAGTCAGGAATGTAATGTCTGGCAGCAGAAGATGGGCAAGATCAAGAAAGGAAGAACGGGAATAGAAAGCAATTAGTATGGAAATGCAAGAACAACGAAGGTCGAGACAATTATTGAACATTTTGCAAATAAAGTATTATAGTATGATTTTTCTATTTTACCAAGTAACTCTGTAATTTTGTGCCAAATATGATTCGGTTGACCTCACCTGTGTTTTCTTTCACTACACTAAGATCGTATATCGTTTTGAAAATTGGCGTCTATGGAAAGTGAATGGTCCATTGAGAATTACATCGATCTTACAAGCATAACAAATTGACTTTTTTTAAATCTCCCTGCGTGTCTATCACTTTGGGAAAACTAACTTACCTGTTGTAGTTACTTATTCTTGGAACGATATTCCTTTTCAAAACATTTAACTTCAGCTTTGAAGAATCATAATTCTAAACATAAGCTAATACACTGAGATTATTATTCACTTATAGTTTGTCTATTCGCTTTAAGGTAATCATTTTGTTTAGCACCAACAATGAATTTGCTATAAACATTTGTAGACCTTAAAACGATATACTTTCATCGTATTTCATTACTAATTAACAATATGGGAAAAACTGAATTCACCTTATTATATAACTGAAATTATTACACAACTACCATATAATCAGAAATTGAACAATGATTACATATACATCTACAGAAGTAAGATATGCCTATTACGTTTTTGATATTAGCTTATTACTTGTAGTATGTAAGTTGTTTGTTTAACGTCTATGTATTTCTTTAAAAAAATTAAATTGTTGACATTAACAGGATAATAAAAACATGTAGTTACTTTAGTTATTCAGTGATTTAATCCCATGGGAAATGATTATCAGCTTGTTCAGTACAGGAGTTACTTATCAGTGATTTCAAAATACATTTTTATATAACCAGTAGTGTAATGTAATCCACATTCTGTTAAACTATCTTAACAATTAAGATCGAATTTAATTGAGTTTGATAAATTAGATTTTGGCAATCAATAATATTCCAAATTAATTTCTACGGCATTCTTCATGAATGGTATATAATAAGAGGGATCTTTACATGTACTTGTAGCTGTTATGTATACAAAAAAGGTTGTTTTTTTTCATTTGTGAAAGATTATATGAATAAATAGTGTTTTGACAATTGGTTTATTATCATACTACTAAAGAAACAATGATAAATTAGACATATAATTAGAAGCAGACAAAAATGTTTATAAAGTCAGACAAGTAAAAATAACAGTCAAAAGGCTAAATACTAAACAATTAGTACATCATTAATCGTCAGTGTGTTCTCTTCAGTTTTTCCTTTTTCTCTGATTTTATGGAAAATAGTATGTTAACATGTCAAGTGTACTGTCAGACATTGTGAATATATTATGCAGAGAAATCTTAAACAGGGGGAAAGCATCTAGCAACATAAAAACAATAAATGTCTGTTGGGATATTACTTTTTGTTTCTAAAGCAAGAATATCTGCATCAATGCACATGCCATATATATATATATCAATTAATTGTCTAGTTGACCAAATGCTTGAGTATATGTACAGATAATTGTAACTCTTATCTTAATTTACAGATTTCATTTGTTTTATAAATTTCACAGGTTGAAATCATGAGTCAGTTGAAGCTAGACCACCATTGAAAACCTGGAAGCACTGGACGGCCGTTTCGTCCTGGTATGGGACTCCTCAGCAGTGCGCATCCACGATCCCGCATCACGCGGGGCTCGAACCCAGGACCTACTGGCTTCGCGCGTAGAGATGTGAATTATCACTTAACTATTCAGCATTATTGCTTCTTTTCAATGTAATATAACTAAGTATAATCACGTAAATTTGAAAAATAGATGGTGATGCTAATTGGTGCGAAGCTTGATTTAATTCCCAACATTATTGACAATTTTGAAACATATATGTATTTAGGAGTGTTACACATAAGACAGTTTACGTGGCTAGTCAAAGAACTACAAACGTATCGTAAATGTGTTTTATTTTAACAATGACAGTCTTGTAAATATTTACACTAAATGATCATTTTAATAAACTGCTACAAATTACTGCACTCTTCATTTTATATAAACTGCGTTGTAGATATGCTTCTATAGGCAATATTTGTTTTTCATCTGACGCATAGTGAGTTCTCCTTAGTGGACATGATTCTGCCTAAAGAATAAATTGCATTAGTTATGTTGTGTCGGATTATGTTGTTCTCGAATCAATGTTTAATGGTAGAATTACTATGCATCATTACCTGATTTGACTGGAGAGCGTTTGTCGCAATGTGCACCTTAACTATCTTGAGCGATTCATTAACAATTAACTCCTAATTTATAGAAATTATATTAATAAAAGGCTGTTTACAAGTTTTCGGTATATTTTTCCTGAAATCCCACAAGTGATTAACTCTTATCCAGGATTTTCGTCAGAATTATACGAGCAATTGGATAGTAAACAATAACTTTAACATTTGAATAATTAAAGAATTTTGGGCTGTTTCCGACAGGTGGATACTAAAATAATATACTTTCAATTTTCGAGGTTAATTTTAATCAAAATCGGTTTTACGTCGAGAATAATTTTTTTCACAGTGCGCCAAAGAACGAGATAATGCAAATTAAAGACACGTATTTAGTTTGCAATTTCCTTACTGAAAGTGCTAATATAAATAATGGGTATATCAGCCGAGAATATAATTTCGTTTAGTTATATATATTTCCATTCCTCACAGTACGTTTACCAACAGAAGTAAATATCGTGTGTCTCTTACTGATCATCCCTTCATTTCATTTATTTGGGGCCGATGATTACTAGGATTGTGATCTATGACTTCTGAATTATTTCTCCCAAAATGTTCATAGTTTATACAAATGGGATCGCTGACCATTTAATAATTATGAAGTGTTTGATTAATTACATAAATTATTTTTCTATATTAGCTGTAATGTTAGTATCCTGAAAAGACTGAGATTAAGTCACTCTAAGATAAGATATCACAGGTGGTTGCTGACATACGTAATTACTAAGGTATAGCATACAAAACCAATATACTTGTATTCATGGCCTTAGTAACATTAAGAGATTACTATGTATGTTCTCAAGTGCGTAACTAAGATTCTTAATTATGCTTATATAAAATCAATAATACAAGTACTGTTCCAAAAAATATTTTTATTTATCGACATAAAATTCCCATTCAATCTCTAAAGCGAGTTGCTTACTAGTATTCTAAACGTGTTGCCGAATATGATAATTTTTAATGACTAAAAAAATAATAAATTTCTTTATTGTAATAAGCTTTAAATTTATCATTTCTTATCAATTTAACTAACTAAAAGTCGATACTTTTCAAGTGTCTTTCATTTTTTTTAGTTTTTGGAGCTCATTTGAGTTGAACAGGAAATAACAAAAAAGTAACTCATCAAAATACCTATATTTTAAATTTTGTACTTTATATTAAATATAAGTCGGTTCGACGCCCATATCTGTTTAGTTACAGAATATCAGTCAAGTACTTTTTAAACAAAGTATGTCATACTAAATTTATTACATCTATATCTTGGGTACTTATTAATTTATAATATTTTGACAATTTAATAGGAAACTATAAAACAGATCTATTTATACATACAAATTGAAATGATTTTTGTCTCATTTATATGAGATGTTCAAGAAACAAACTTTTCTGGCATACTTTGTAAAAGATAAACCGCTTTACTGATTGAGATGTTATTTAACAAATCCTAAAAGGGAACTTTCGACGTTCTCTAGTATTACAGATATATATATATATATATATATATATAGCAACTATCAGAAGGGGTTCTGTGGAGATTTTTAGAAATTTCACTGATTGAAATCATGAGTCAATTGAAGCTAGATGACTATAAAAAACCTGGAAGCACTGGGGCTCCTTAATAGTGCGCATCCACGATTCCGCACGCGGCGACATTCGAACCCAGGACCTATCAGTCTAGCGCCAGGCGCTCAAGCAACTAGACCACTGAGCCGGCATCCACCGGTGTTAATGTCTAACACCAACCAATCCACGAAGTCGCACCACCGTACACCATTGTCTTCAGTGAGTTGATATCTCATGGGTTTGCATCTCGCGGGGTGTTGGATCGTGGGTACGCACTGCTGAGTAGTCCCATACCAGGACGAAACGGCCGTCTAGTGCTTCTAGTTTTTCCATGGTGGTCTAACTTCAACTGACCCATGATTTTAATCAGTGATATAGAGCAATTGTATTACATATTTCAAATGCTAGAATAGAAAGGAAATGAATTACATAATTAAAATTATTAACACAGTAATTATTCATAGAAATATTTCATTATTCATAAAGTACCTTGATCCTAACCAACCTGTGAAACTAATCATAAAATAAATGTGATATTTTCGATCAAACATAATTTATATTAATTAACCAATGAAAAACTATTTGTATAAAATTTAATTTTTGATTGAATTCTCATTGGTTAACATGATGAGTAAATTCAATAGTATTAGTGATTGAAAATGAATGTAGAAATGCTTTTTTTTCAGAAAAAATTTCACATCTAAATTGATAATTAAGAAAGAAAATTATGTTGAATAATCTATTGTTTAACTATTAATGATCTTTCTCTTAAAAAACAAACATCCATTAAATGGTAATGAATTCAAGTCAATTTCATATGAACATCCTATGTAATTTCAACAACACAATTGTCATTGTGTGAACTATAACTCTTGGAAATTTCGAATGTATACAAATCTGTATACTAGATCTGTATTAAGTAAAACTTTATTAATCTTAATATGGTTGCATGAACAAGATCAAATTGTATTTGGTTTTAATGGATATATAAATTATGATTTATTTGGAATTAAAAATGATGAAATTATCAAATCATCTATGATATGTGTAAATCAGCATGTTTATAATTGTAAAAGAAATTCTAATTTAAGATTTAATGATTCTGTATTATTTCAAAATAATAAATCAAATCATAATTGTGACTTATTTAGTGTGGATATAAATCAGGATTTATTGAATGGAGTCAGAGAATGTATCAGTGAGTATTTAGAAATTAATAATTTTTATGTCTAGAAATAAAATCATATTTTATATGTTACATTGGTTTTCATTTAATGGATGACAGGATTATTTAGACAGTTAGAATTCAATTTTTGTTGAAGGTGTTACATCTAGAATTTGGTGGTTAGCTTAAAAAAATACTGTAAGCACTGTAGCGAGATTTAGGATGGGGCTATTTTACTTAATATAACATATTGCAGATAACCTAATGTTTTATATATATATATATATATATCATAGTGATTCACTAAAGTTTATTTATGTTTAACACTAAAGGTTTTGATAAATGATGATAGTTTAACGATAAAAATGATTAATATGTACTAAAATGTTATTCACGTAAGGAATAACCAGAGGTTATTATTATTTAATTGTAATATAACTAAACAATACTCAAAAACCGTCTTAGTTACAATTTAAAAGATCTCTAGAAGGTATAGAATTATTTATTTAGAAAAAAAATGTGATTTCAATTCAAAGAGAAAATAGACAGAATTAATTTTCACAGAAATATTTGTAACTAACATATTTCATTAGTTTTATCAATAGAATTTAGTAATGAAGAAGATCAGTTTGTTTAATTTGAAGGGTAATTTTTTTTTGCTAAGTTTATTTTATTTCATAGTTGATTTTCCATGAATTTAATTGTAGTTGCCATAATGCTAATGCATAGAAAAATATTGTAATTTTCGAAAGATTTATAGTTGTTTAGTGGTTATTACATAAATTTCAAAGATCATTTTGAAAACAGAGCTTTTCAAGAAGTGTTACTTGACTTGCATAAATAGTAATATAATTATCTATAAGCTAATATTGTTCTTTGTATCTTGATGTTTCCACAAATTACTGCTGAGATTTTATTCACGAATAAGTCAAAACGTTTAGTAAGATGGATATAACTACCCTCAGTCATAAACGAAAAGAACTGGAAAATACAGACGCACTGATGATTATGGCATTTAAGTAATTTAGTGGATTGTATGATAGTGATTGGAAGTAAATATATCGGATCTGAATTGTCATATAAACATCACGACTTATTCGCAGATTATTCAACGTGAGTATTCTCAAATAAAAACGATACGCGTATCTTGGATACTATTTTTAGTCACAAACCAATACATTAAATATAGTCATATTTATGCTACATGTATCAATCATTGCGAATGTTGCTAGTCAGTGTTATGATCCATCTGACGTCTCAAATATTATATATCTAAATTTTAATTTCCGAACGTTTCATTCTTAGTCACCTTAAGATAAAATGTATAGTCGATTCAATTTTCTATAGCAAGATGATACCTACTTTTCTATTAGTTTGATTGGTGTGTAAGCGGTTAGACATTTGTTTGTATCAGTGAGGAATATTGATTTCTTGTTTAAAACATAGTGTGATTGTAATCATAAATCAATATTACCTTGGTCAAGAATTTTGATAACCTATCGCATACTTTTTGAAGTTTTTCTATTTTCATTTTTAATATTCTTTACTAATCTATTTTAGATGAAACTTTTCTGAAATGATACTACTCACATTCATTTCTCAAAACAAAGTTTACATAGTATTATTGTATTAGAAAGATCTCATCATCAGAAATATCAAATACATTTTGCACTAGTTTTGTCAGTTAAATTACAATACAGAGAAAAGAAAAAAGAAATTCATCTATTGTTTTAAGTTACAAAGGAATTTTAGTCATTAGTTTATACAAATATAAAAATATAATTAAATTAAAGGATATTTTTCTTTCATTTTTATGGGAATAGAATATTTCATGTTAGCATGCTTCATTAATTAGCTATATGTTCACTTGACCTTTGAATAGTTTGCCTATTTTTGAGTATTCAGAAAAGATATATACATATATACATATATATCTGCAAAACGGTATATTAAAAATTTACCCTTAGGTGAAATGAATAATATTATAGGCAACAAAGTATTGATGAAACGTCTATTATATTTTGTTACTGAAATATTAAAAAGATGAAAATCAAAAATCTACCGAAAATAGTCTATGGCTTAAAAAGTATTAAACAAGACTGAAATATTTCATTTAGGGGATTTGATTTGATTGTGGTAATTTTGTATAGGAATTAAAGACAATACAAATGTGTTTCAGGTGTAATGTTGATCATAACTAAATGATCCAGTAACTTTTAACCTTTTCAACAATGTTGTGCCAAAATTGTTTACAACAATGTCTAGCATAACACATAGAGATAGGTGTAGCTACATTTTTTTTTGTATTTTGTAGTAAATATTAGAGAAAATATGAATTACTTTGCATAGATTATAACTTTTTAGGTAATAAGAATTTATATTTGAAGTAATAAGAGCCTTATTATCCAGGGTGATTAGGTTTCAGATTGCGTTCACATTATTATTATTATTATTATCCTTGTCTCCTCTTACCCCCTTCCCATTACAGTTGACCTTTTATTTTTATACATAAATTTTCTTAACAAGTACATTATGTGTGATCAGATTGTTCGAAATGTATTGCGCTAATATAACACATAGTTCTGATAATCTTTTTATTATTATCACTGTGTGGTAAACCATTGAATATTCAACATCACGTTTACGCAAAACTATTAGTCAAAGAAAGGAGATCTGTGCAAGTGTGAGAAATACAAAGACATTACACTACTGTCAGTACCAGAAAACGTTTTCAACAGAGTGTTACTGAATCGGATGAGAGGCACAGTAGACGCCAAACTTCGAGATCGACAGGCTGGATTCCGTAAGGATCGATCGTGTACAGATCAAATCGTGACAATACGAATTATCAATGAACAATTAATTGAATGGAACTCAATACTATACATCAAATTCATTGACTATGACTGCGCATTTGACAGTGTGGATAGGAGAACTGCATGGAATCTTCTTCGCCACTATGTAATTCCTGAGAAGATCATCCACATCATTCAAAATTCATACGACAGACTGCAGTGCAAAGTGGTGCATGGAGGACAACTGACAGATGCATTTCTAGTGAGGACCGGAGTCAGGCAAGGCTGTCTAGTCTCTCCCTTCCTCCTTCCTTTGATGGTTGACTAGATTATGAAGACCTCGACATATGAGGGAAAACACGGAATAAAATGGATAACTCGGAATCAATTAGAAGATTTGGACTTCGCAGATGACCTGACCCTTCTATTCCATGCACACGAACAAATGCAAATGAAGATAATCAGTTTAGCAGCAACCTCTGTATCAGTGGGCCTCAATATACACGGAGGAAAAAGCAAGGTCCTCAAATACAACACGGAGAACACCAACTCAATCACACTTAATGGAGATGCCCCGGAGCGTGTGGAAACGTTCACGTACCCAGGAAGCTGTAGAGGCAGTATCCTCTATATCTGATTGCAAAAAATAGCATCCCGTTAACTGAGTATTTAATGCAGGCTGAATCTCCTAGTAGAATTATGGATTTACTCGAGTCTATTCAAAAGCCTGAACATCAGTTATAGAGATAGTTTATTGTTAAAGATTGGTAAAATCTACAAGCGTATAGGAAGCAAGCATACAGGGAAAACAGGAGTGTGTGTGAGTGTTAAAAATTCATATATATATATATATATATATATATATATATATATATATATATATATATATTTCTGAGTGTAAATCAAGTATGGATAGATTAATGATTGTCTGTGTATTACAACCAATGGGAGAATAGATCTAAAATTGATGTGCAGAAATGTGCTCAATCATACTCACACAGAAATTTACATGGTGAATTATGTGTCTGAATTACAGTGATCAGATAAATAATATAGTAGTTGAATGGGCTTACTATAAAGCATCATCGATGAACTTGAAGGATCTGATGCAGACGTAAAGGCGAGTATTGGCAAAGCAAGGGCCGCATTCCTACAGTTGAAGAACATATGGAACTCAAAACAACTGTCAACCAATATCAAAGTCAGAATTTACAATACCAATCTTCAATATCAACGTTCTACTGTACAGAGCCGAAACATGGAGAACTACAATAACCATCATCAAGAAGGTACAAGTACTTATAAATAGCTGTCCACGCAAGATACTCAACATCCATTAGTCTACTATGAAAGGAGATAAACCAGCTTCCAGCTGATGAGGAAATTTGGAAAATACTTTGGATAGGATATACATAACGGCTTCTTCAACAACTGCATTTATGTCATACAATAATAATATCAGTTTGAAAGTTAGATGGACATTAAATTTATTAATAAATGTTTCATTTTAGATTAATTACTGATCAAGCTGTCATTTTCAATATTCCAAGCATTAATTTATTTCAATTAACTTCAATGAATTAAATTCACTTGGTATTGTTTGGCTTGTATCTTCCTATTGAAGTTTAAGACTGCAATTGATCAGTCTATTATTGGCATATGTGTATACTGTGCGTATGCCTCGATATTACCTTAATTCACAAGCTTTTTGTAAGCGATGATGGATGGTGGTTAGCAGTGGAGTCTAGAACGCGCGTTTCGTCCTGTTCGGGACTCGTCAGCTGGATGTACCCTCATGTGTTGATGTTCACTCTGGGACTCGAATCTAGTACCATTCGCTTCAAACGCCATCGCGCTATCCACTTAGCTATTGAGTTCTGATAGTCACTTGATTGTGCATTGAGGTGAATTTTGATTCACCAGATGTTGTTTTACTTGTATCTTCCCTTTGGGACTCAAATGTTTGTGGATTAAGACAATAACAAGGCAGTCCATGCAGGATGCACATATGCCAACGAGAGACTGATCAACTGCGGTCCTAAATATCAATAGGAGATACAAGCGAACAACACCAAGTGAATTTAAAATTCACCCTATTGCAAACGTAAGTGGCTGTCAGGACTCAGTAGCTGAGTGGATAACGCGATGGCGTTTGAAGCGAATGGTACTGGGTTCGAGTCCCAGAGTGAACATCAACACATGCGAGTACATCCAGTTGAAGAGTCCCGAATAGGACGAAACGCGCGTTCTGGATTCCACTGCTAGTCACTATC